TCTACAATCAAGATGACTGTGTGGTTGTCTACAGCGGTGCGTTATCAAAGTTTGCCACATAAGGCAGGAATTAAATTGCTATTATTTTAGGGTCAAATATTTTGGTCGAAGATTTTATTTGCTACGGAGGACACGGCCTGAGTATCTCAGCAGGGCATGATGATGAAAATGTCGAGCTGAATACTGTTTACAATGTAACATTCAGTGACTCAGTTGTTACAGAGGGCAAAAATGCGATTCATGTGAAAACCCATGTCGATGGCGGTAATGGAAGAATTGAGAAAATTGTTTACAAGAACATACAAATCGACGGTAATTAAAGTAGACGCATATTCAGTTTCTTCAACTTAAAAATACGTGATTTCAGGGCCTAGTGAATACGGAATAAACATTCAGGAAAACTATCGAAATCTTCCACCAAACAGCACCATGCCTGACGAGGCCAGAAACAATATTCCCATTACAGACTTAAAGTTGATTAATGTTTTTGGTTCGGTTGATAGTTGGGCGGTTCCAATATACATATTCTGTGCAGAGGGCGGGTGCTTTGATTGGGAATTCACCGAAGTTGCAGTAAATGGAACTGAGGCAAATATGTGCACATATGAACCAACCGGATTTTTTTGCTAATTAATAAAAATTGTATAATTTAGTAAATGTGTTACTATTGTCTTCACTACCGACCAATTAAGCCTTGCCCACAGTCTCAATTATTGCAACGAAATCTAAGCAATTACTAGCTCCATTTGATAATGTAGATGGTTAATTGCGGTGTCTCTAACGGTTTTCTGAAAATTTCCAAAATTTTGCTGCTTTTCCGAATAATTCAAAACACAATGAGCAAGGATTTACATTYAGAAGCTCGATTCATGATTCGACTCGATTTTCGAAGTAAAAAATTGGCTCAACCAAATAAACCTATTTTGAATTTCGCACGAATAGCAAATGCYTGCATCTACGAATATAATTATTTTCTATTTCACCCACTGTTCTAAAATGGGGCAATTGATGACTGATCAATTTTTCTAGGTCAGATATAATGGATTTCTTATCTTTGGAAACTTCCTCAAAGTCAATTGAAGGCTTCTCGATTGCCAGACAAGATAATACTGAATRYATTTCAGTATTATCCAGTCGAACCTTGATTGCAAGTGAGAATTGAATATTTAGCAGGTGCAGGAAGCAAAAATTTAAACCGTCAATTTGGAGCATTAATTTAATTATCTAAACAAATAAGTAGCATACGTTTGCGCTTATTCAATACAAAAAACTTAAAATAAATCTAATATAAGTCTTCTTATATTAGATTTACTAATTAATTAATATAAATTAAAATTTATGTGCTCAGTGATGCTATTAAATAAAATGTAATGTCTAATAACAAGAGCATTTGTTTGCTGATATATGATTTTTTGTTATTGGAAATATTGAAGACAATACAGTTTCCAATACAAGCCATTCCATTGCACTGCAACGGGAGTAGTACTTTATGTCGTAGATACTAAAGATAATTCAGGAGATTATAATAAAATAGAATTATAGGCACAAAAAATTGCTTTACTTCAGATTAAGGAATAAGATATGTTGACTAATACTTTCTAGAATTTGAAGTTAATATGTGAGTTTTGAGGTGAAAGTTTGTATACTTTTGATGGATAAAAGCCAAGGGCATGAGAAAAGTTGATAAAATCTGCTTATTTAATATATACAGATTATTAACCAGGATGTTTATACTTCCAATATCTACACTGCTTTTTACGCCTCCAGCTCCAGAGCTGGTCAAAAATGGTCTACGATTTTAAATCTACGTAGGACACGAGCAAGCACCAGAGAGTTAGAACAATCGACAATAATAAATTTTGTTTTCTTTGCGTTTATCTTAATGCTGTTCCTCCTTGCCTCAACTCATACTCAACTGTATCGTTTACATATCACAGGTGTGAAATTGAGTTCCATCCATGCAATAAGTTTCTCTTTCTCTATTTTCCTTACATGTTAAAAATATCTCCAGAGAAGGTGCAATTTAGGGAACAAAACTACAACTCTTTAAAAAAATTATGTGTATTAAATATTTTAATTTGAGCAAATCGGAACCAAGCTAAGTGTGAATATAGCGAATCATTAAAACAGGCTTACAATCAATGAAGCAGGAACGTACAAAATATGTTAACAGTTTTATTATCGAGGAACTTTCCATTCCACTTACATACTGACTGATAATGTACCAAAAAATTAGAAAACACTCATTTTTATTTAATTTGATAAAACATTTGAAACCCTTCAAATGGATTGATTAATATCTGGATATGTAGATATATGCAGTAGCGTCAAAACGAACTTTACACCGCAAGTCGGTGCGTTTGTTCGAAGCAAAAATGGGCTTCTGGTGCTTAACAGTTCTTTCTGTCCTCTTTCTTAGTCAATGGACTATTAGTCGGGCTTCAGCTGGTAAATTACAAAAAGGATTAAATTTCGAGCTTGGCACTCCTACACTTTTACCGATCAGTTTTAGTTTTTACTTAGCGAAGTGCACGGGGCTGTTGAAATATGCGACACCATAACTTTTGATAATATTTTCGTTCCTGCTTGTGAGACTCTGAACCTGCAATTGAGAGATAAAATGCTACTGTTTACTTCAGAGGGACCACCACCTTTGGCTACGCGGAATGGGAAGGTATTTTAGTGGCCATAAATGCTACCAATACCATCCAAGGAGAGGATGGTATAATTGTTGATTTTTCTTCAATAATAGACTGATTATTTTCTTATTTACGGTCAGTTCTTCCAGGGCACAGGAGTGAAAGCTGGACATAATACTTATGGCGTCGTTGTGGATTAATAAAATTGCATGGTGTATAACCAGGATGATTGTGTAGCTCTTTACATTGGTGCGAATTAGGTTTACAAGTGAAAGCGTAAATTGAATTTTGTTTTTAATTCAGGAGCAAATATTTTGGTGGACAATTTTATATGCTATTTCGCACGGCCTGAGCGTATCAGTGGGTCAAGCATGAAGTGAGGAAAGTTTTGAGTTAAACAGTCTAGTTAATGCAACATTCAGCAATTTGATCCTCATGGGGAACAAGAATGCCATTCAAGTAAAAACATATGTCGATGAAGGAATTGGAAAAGTTGAAAATATGTATACGAAAACATAGAATTCACTTGTAAAGAAAGCACATGTGAATTTAGTTTCTGTGAATGATTTTGGGTTTAACTTCAGGGCCTAGTGAATTTGACATAAATATTCACGAAAACTATCGGAATCTTCACCAAATAGCACCATGCCTAATGAGCCCGAAAATAATGTTCCAATTACAGACTTACAGCTGATCGGCTATTCCAATCTATATGTATTTTGTATGCAGAAAATGGGTGCTTTGGTTGGGACTTCAGTCAACTTTTGATTGCAGGAATCGAGTCAAATCTTTGCAATTTTGAACCTTTCGGATTTTCGTGTTGATTAATTACTTTAGCGGAAATGTCCACAGAAAAATAAGGGGATTTTACATTGGAAATTTTCGTCAGGTTATAGGAAGTCAACAAAATGGAATTTTCTTCGTCTTTAAATTAGAAATTTCCATCATTCAAAGTTTTTTTTATCTCGAAAATTGCTAGTGTTTTGTAGGCTTTGTAACTTTTATAATAAAACTGCGTTCATTAGCTTTAAAGAACGAGTGTTCAATTTGCATTTAGTATGCAGTTTCCAATACGTAAAGACGAATAGTGTTTTTGACCTCGCAGTCATCAGCAGGGGATGCTTAAACAAAGTATTTCATAAGTAATAAGCATCAGGATAGTCTGAATAACGACGAGGTATCCCTCTTAATCCTAGAAAATGTTGAGGAAAAAAGGTTATATTAACCCCTACACAACATGTGATCATTCTAAGAAATTGAGTTGAACATTTTCTAGTTGATGGTACATGTTCCAATTGGATTCTTGATGTGTCAAAAATGCGAAATATCGTATGAAAATATAATAACATAAATTATATATATATTTTGCAATTATAGGTAAAGAATGTTCCGCAAAGAACAGAATGGGCAGAAAATTTGATAATTGGGCTCTTACTCTTTGTCTATTTAATTTGGATTTAAAAATCAATTTATCAGAAATTGTTGAAACAAGCTCTGAAATAGTCCAAGCTGTAATTTTTAGTGACTGTAATCGAGGAAATTAGCGCATATTGAAACTCGTATCCTGATTTACGAATCCTGAAATCAACGATACAGTTGTTTATAATTATCGAGCCTTTTTTCCACTTGAACCTTGGATTGGATATAAGAGATGCTTGAAGGTATCAGTACTTAACTATCATTACTTAATAAGCTTGTTAACTTATTCCCTTCTAGACTTTATATCAGTTATTAAAACAATTTTTTTCTTTACACATAATTATCCATACAGTTTTGGAAATAAATAAGCAAAGTTTTCTTAATTTTTTCATAAAAGCCAGGGACATTTTTGAAGTGTTTCGATTAGTTAAATTGCAGCAATTATGTGCAAACCACGCAGTCAAAATCAGTTTCTCCCGCCGGTAAAAGCCGATATTTGTCTTCAAACAGCAAGCTCTGGTACTCAAAATAAGATAACTTTCATGTTTCCCATCTTGATGACTTGGAGATAAGAGTATTGTGTCAGAAATTACTAATCCAGACCTAGTAGTTCTCAATCACGTCGCTTTGTGAGATTTCGGCATGACTCCCTTATATTTCGTGTTGAGTGTGCTCTTCCTTCTCCAAGCATCCATCAAAGATGCTAAATCGGACGAAGGTACGAAATTCCTTTTTTTGATCCAAACATTTAATTAAAATCTGGGTTAATTTCCTTTCAGCTTGTCACGTCACCCAATTCTACCAAGTAGATGTGGCTGTTGAAATCTGCGACGTGATAGTCTTGGAGAATTTGTTCGTTCCGGGTGGAGAGACTTTGAACTTGCTGTTAAAGGATAACACCACGGTGTATTTCAGTGGAAACATCACGTTTGGTTACTATGAATGGGAGGGGCCTTTGATCGCAATCAATGCAACAAATGCAGTAATTGAGGGCAAAGATGGTAAGCGATTTGAGTTACTTACTAAACTATGCATACGTGGATTATATGATGCTAATTGAATTGGATAATTGGCAACATTAAGTATTAAATATCGAGTGTTAACCAGTTTGTAAAACGTAGGAGGAACGAAAATGCTTGACAATCATGAAAAATTTGGGATTTTTGTCGTTGGTAAAATGCGGTTTGTATGCGCAATTTGCTTCATAATTTTTTTCAATTACAAGGAGAAATTATTTGTAAAGAAAATATTACTTAGAACTTAGAAGAATAATTCTTTTAGATTCAATTTTGAATGGACAGGGCGAGCTTCATTGGGATGGACTGGGCGAATGGGGCAGTGTTAAACCAAAATTTTTCGTTATGCAATTACACAACAGCATCATGTCTAATATTCACGTGTTGAATCCTCCTGTACACACGGTTTTGTTAACCGATTCGACTAATGTTGAATTAAGCGGCTGGAATATCGATGCATCTGAAGGAGACGTGGTAATTACGAGCTCAATTATTAAAGATTCGATTTAGTCTGGGCAGCTAATTTCGAAGAATTCTAATTTAGGATGCCGTTGGAAGCGACAGAGCTGGACACAACACTGATGGTTTCGACGTTTTCAACTCAAGCAATATTCTGCTGCAGGACTCCATTGTCCATAACCAGGACGATTGTGTGGCTATACGATGTGGTATGTATTTGGGACTCAACTGTATTTTAATTGGTCTCAAATTATGCAGAAAACTTTGTTTTTCTCGACTTAAAATGAGGTACAAAAGGTTTCGGGGGTAGGGCAACTTTGTAGACTCATAGTGCTCCGGTAAGTTACATTAGCTGCTGTTCGATAGCAAAAATACTAAAAAATGTCTACTGTTATTGGTCTTTTCCGTTTGGCAAAAATTTTTGAATATTTCGAAATTGGCGAAGCCATTTCCAAAGACGTTTGCTGCGGATCTAAGAATAGGTATCAAGGGATAAGGCAGCAAGGTCAGTGTCGAAATTCACATTTCAGACTTTTAACATTTCACCATAAGCTTTTTCCAAAATTTTTSCAAATCATTTTCGGTCAACATTTCGGATTTCATAAATTGCATAATTTTGTCTTCGGCAAAATAATATTTTTTGGCGCTTTGTAATATTGAATTACRAGCGTTTGTTGAGTTTCTAACAAAATTATACTTTCAATTCTTATGTTTTATACCGAAATATYTATTTTTAATGTGAAAAAAGGAGACCGCGAGACAAATCCCAAGGAATATTTGTTAGTAACTAGGTTTTAAGTATTTAAGCCAATAAATATTTCCATAATTAAGCATAAAAACAGGAAATAAGATGTTTTCAGCCATAATAATAATCAACTCATAATTGGAAAATATTAGATTATTTTAGGTCTTTGCTGCTTTGAAACCCCAAATTTGTTCGAATTCTATTATTGAGGACTGGAGCCTTTGACAAAGCACAATAAAATAATTAATTTTTTCACTTTTATTTTAAAATTGTTTAAGTAACTATTTAAAACTTGCTGGTTTCGTATCTCGTTCACGAAACCGCTGTTGTGTTGTGTAGTAAGTTTTCCGTGGATTCTGAATATTTTTTTACATTACAGCCACTAGTGCTGTGAAAGCCTTCAGTTTGTTGATGCGAAATTACTCTTCAATCAATGAAATCCGTATAAAATCCAACTGAATGTCCTAAAAAATTACACCAAATTTGAGTGACCCTGAATAATTTATTGAAAACTGCTTGTTTTATTTTGATTTTAAATGAAATAATGCTTATCGCTTCAAATGTAGTTAAAAATAAACTTAAGAAGGTGTTTTGTCTTGACAATAATCGGAAAAATTTGCATAAATATAGAGAGCAAAAATAGTTCTAATGACATTCAGTGCTCTAAAGTGTTAAAACGAGAAACAAAAATAACGATTTATTAATTATTTATAACGAGTATTATAGAAAATAATGTATATACGTAAACACAACCAACATACAAAACAATGTATTTATGAATATTTTTCTTTCCGCTGTATTTATTTATGAAAACTATGTTTATTTATGATTGATTTGTTGCTGTTTGCCTTCAACATGCACAAAAAATGTTCTTCTGAACTCTAGGCACCAACATCGTGGTAGATAAATTCATCTGCTATGGTGGCCATGGACTGAGCATATCAGTGGGATTCAGTAACGACTCCTTTGTACTGAACACCTTAATAAATGTGACCATCAGCAACTCAATCGTTAAGGGAGGGGACAATGGAATTCACATCAAAACTCATGTCGATGGAGGAGATGGAATTATCTCCAATGTTACTTATGAAAACATTATTCTTGATGGTAATAAATTAATCGGAAAATCTTTTTTCTAATTCCACCGAAAATAAAATTTTAGGAGCATTAAAGTATGGAGTAAACGTTCAGCAAAACTATCGGAACCAGCCTGCCAATAGCGGCAGCACTTTGGACCCAGAAAACAACATCCCCATTCTAAATCTGGACTTGATTAATGTTGATGGAAATGTTGCTGATTCCGCTACTCCAGTTTACATTCTGTGTGCTGATGAAGGATGCTATGACTGGAAGTTTGAGGACGTTTCAATAATTGGCTCCAAAGAAAGCAACTGCAACTACGAGCCATCTGATTACTATTGCTAACAATGAATAAACCGAAAACAATAATATTTCAATTCTCAGCTAGAAACTACGATATAATAAAGTTGTTACAAAATATATTTCAATATTAGAATTACACGACCCATGCATGTTTTCGCTTGTTATATTAACCAACCTCTTTCATCGAACTGTCTAACTATTAAGCACAATCGTTTGATGTGAAGAGGATCTTTCAGATCTGAAGCCACTTGATTATCATAAATGTCTTGATTTGTACCTAAAATCGGGTACAGTTTGCAAACAGTCTTATAGAAATCACCAGTAGATGCAGAGGCTTTTAGTTCCTGATTAAATGAGGCCCTCGAAAAGGCCTTAATGTCTATATTCAGGTTATCGAGCACTTTCAAAAAGTTGTCATAGTAAACATCCAACAGCTCATTTAGATGTTCTTTCAGAACGACTAGTTGGACGCTGGAGAACAGGAAAACCAGCACATCTCTTACAGGCGAGCAATACTGGCTTTCCTGGAAACCCTTCAGCCTGATATCTTGTGGATAGTTGTTTTTGTCGTACTTCACCATTATGTTATTCACCTGAAAATTTCACTACCGTCAGGAAAAACTGCTGTTTTTTCATAGCTTTAACTAACCCATGCATTAGTATGTGTAAAAGTGGACCATGGCTCTTGCGTCGACAAGCAGCACTTTCTATCAAAGGTGGCCACAGCTCTATCAATTATCAGCGGTGAGAAATTTTCATTTTTCAAAACCTGGATCATATGACTTCGGGCCACTTTCTCAAAACAAGCAGTCGTGCAGAATTGGCCCAGATAAGGCAGGATTTTGTCTTTGAATTCTTTAGGTTCTTGCAGCTTCATTCCCAAAGAACTCCCATGGAACTTTGCAAGGGTAGTTAGAATAGCCTGAGTAGTTTCTAGGTCAAAACCCGTTCTGCGATGAACCGTTTTATAGCCTAAAAACATAGGGGAACTTATTTTGTGACTAATTTCTTGTCTTATCGACATGTTTTGGTCACTTGTAGCCGAATTTTTTGAAAAAATGTATTTGACCAAGAAAAAGCAACCTCTAGTTAGACTGAAGATAAAACGACTAAAAACACACGTTCAGAAACAAACGCAGTTTCAAAATATTTTGGTTTGCAGCCAACCAGAAAATTTTGTCTTGTTTCATGGTGATTAACAAAAATGTTGAAAATGTCCCTTCGTGTTTTCTCCATTATTATTTGTCATGAGAAATGACAAAAATTAATTGCATAGCATTGAAATAAAAGCCAGAGACTTAAGCTACAAACTACAAAAACATCTATTAAAATCAGTTAATTGGTATAAAAGTTAGAAGATTTTGAATTTTACTAAAAAACAGGTGAGCCTCTTTTTTGGAACTGAGCGTATTATAATAATTATGATTAAAATATCAATGGTTTCATTTTAATTTTAAGCTGGTAAACTGATAAAAATAAACCTAAGAAATACAATTTTCAAAGTCTACCGAAAAACAATAATGCAGTTTCATGAGCGAAAGTGATTAAAATATCAGAAACTTTTTAGCTTAAAAAAAACGTTGGAAAAGACTTCGTTAAGAAAAGATTGAGAGATTAAATAGGTTTCAATCCTTCCACATGTTTAAAAATAAAAGTAGTTCATCGCATTAATAAATCCAACAAATTTATTCCTGCATACTTTTCAATTTTCTGCACTTGTTCGAAAAATGTCATTTAATTTTTTTCATTTGAAGTTTCAAATGATTTTGCAGCAGCGATTTTTTAATCACATAATCCGCTACCTCTATGTCTGAGATCAGTGACGACAAGGACCGCATTATGATCCACTTCGTTTGTACCATTGAGATTGATTCTTCCTCCAAAACTGTTAGCAAAAAAGTCTTCTCCATGCCTGATACCTGAAACGTATCATACAATTATCCAGACGTTTTACCTGCCCGAGTAGCTGCGGACGTCTTCAGGAAAACTTTAGTGTTTCAATTATTTTATTAGTTTATTCAGATGTTAATGTTTGTTGGATTTTTTAATACCTTTGTCTTTAAGGTAGGCATCGATGGCACGTCGGGCGCTCATATAAATTCCCACTTCGTTCTTAAAAGTAGTGCGGATATCAGATAAGTCGTGTGCAATGCTGTATTTGGGCAATATTTTTGCAATTGCTATTAATGTCCAATTCTCGCCAGTAGCAGTATTCACAAGTTCGATCGATAGTCTAGAAAGCAGAAAACCAACCATTCCTTAAGTCATTTAATTTTGCTTTCGAAAACCCACCTTTATTATGATTTGAAATAAAGGCTCGACTTAAATGGTTAATTGAAAAATCAACAAATATCTTATTAGAGAAGACAATTGAAAACTGGCTTAGAAAATCAAAAGCAAATATTATCGTAAACGTGTAAATTAGACGCGAATAACATTGAATTGCTCTTACAGATAAAATATTCGCGACGTTTGTAAATGATAGTTACTTGTATCTACTTCACTTAGCATATTTTCAAATACAAGAGCACACACGTTTGATGCATTTGAGAGGTTAAAACAATGATATGATAAAACAAACATTATGCTTAAACCCACCTTAAAAACGTCGTCCCATAATAGTCAATATATCGAAGTCTGGAATAATGTACGGCTTTGATTTTTGATTGATCACAAGGAATATGTGGAGTGATTAGACTGTACAGGTCGTGGATGATTTCTAGCTTTTCTTCGATTTGACTTTCCATTTTTATTCAAGTTTTACCTAACAAGAATAAATAATTATTAGTTAGAAATCGACTCATTTTAACAACTAAAAATGGGATTTATAAATATATTTTTACTGCATTGAAATTTGGCAATATGCAATTACAAGCAATCCCTTTTCGAACAAACTTTCTCAGAAGCCTATCTGGAGTAAATTATATTTTCTACCAGTTTAGACGAGTTGGAATTTGCAATTTTTCTGTCGGTATCCGGCTCCCTATCGGATGTGGATTTTTTTATTGCTGACTTTCTAATGCAAGAAATGTAAACTTCAACGAGCAAAAAGTGGCAAAAACGGCATTTTTCCCAGAAACATTTCTAATAAACGTTGTCAGTGAATGAATTATCTTTAAGGAGAGCCAAATTGTTAAGTTTGTATGCCAAAAGCGGATAAACTAGAAACGCTCCAAATTATTAAAAAGGTCAGTTGGAAGTAATTACGTAGTAATAAGTACAAATCGTTTATAATAGTGCTAATAATTTTTGTCTGTTCTTTTCGGTTACCTAAGCTCTTTGATACAATAGTTGCTGTTAATAAGTCTAGGAAAAATTCTGTATAATTTATTGCATTGGGAGCAAGTTTGCAATAATATCCTGATCCATGAGAAATTGTTTATAAACAATAACTTCCGTTTGTAACCAGAAAATAATTCTAAAATTAAGTGTCAGTAGGTACTGAATTAAATGATGTCACGCAGTTCCCATGAAAACGTTTTTTTGTAATCTACCATTATATCAAAGTGGTTCTCGTAAAATACTGTTGAAAATTTTGGAAAAATTAATAATATCAAAACAGATAGACTTTCAAGGCTATTCTACCGAACGACGGGCTGAAAACCCGAAAAACCCATTAGTTTCAAAATTAATAATGTTTAATAAATATTTCTCAAATTTACCTTCTTTATTATCCCGCAAGTGTTTTTATTGAGCAGTATCGCTACAGGTATAATTTCAGTCTTTTTAGCACTTTATCGTTTCAATACTCAGTTTTTTAATTGCCCTGGTGCAATAAAGGCGCAATAAACTGCACTTTCAGAAGACCAAAAGTGCGTAGAATGATATTCAGGTGATTTGCAAAGTATTTATGGCTGATGCAAGAAGTGACGGAAAACTAAGAGAAAAATAGTGCAACTATTTATTTTCCAGCATGCCTCTAGAAGGGAGTGTGCCTCTAGAAGGAAAAACATTTTAATTTTCTTATGAAGAAATGATTGGAAAACCATAGAACTTTATTTTTGTGTTTCTATGTGCATTAATGCTTTGAAGCAAATAAACAACATTTTTGACTTCATGACATGAAAAAATAAAATTTCAGTTTGTTTCTTCTCAACATTAACACAAAAGCTAAGCTAATGGAATAGCAGCAACCGTTTTACTGACTTTCTAGTTATTGCTAATGAAGCAGGTGTTTATATCAAATAACTCAGCTCTTCATCCTTCAATGCTTTAGTAAATGTAAAGGTAAAAATTGAAAAATCTTACCAGACATTTGGTCAACTACATTTCAAAAATGCCGGTTCGTAATCCATAACTACACCTAAAATACCCAATATATATTCACTATAAACATTACCATAGGTATAGACGTTTTACATCGTTCACATTTATTTGTTTAATCGCCTTTACATAACACGTTTAAATGAGTATAATTTGATTTATGCCTTTCAAGGATTTCTTGTAGTCCAACAGTTTATGGTGCTAAATTCATTTGCTTCCAATGGTTCTAGCATCCATTGGAGAGAGTTTCAGCATTTCGAATTCTTAAGCGAAACTAATTTAAAAAAACATAAGTTCAATTTAATTTGCAATAACAAACTGTAGAATTGCAAAAACAGTTAAACACAGAATTAGAACTGAAAAGCAAAAAATGATAAACTATTAACTAAACAAGGCAGTAAAAATCAAAAGCGTGACATAAACTTTCAAGTAATAAATAGGAGATTAAGTTAATGATAAAATTAACAACTAAGATTATTTCAAATGAATGGAATATACTATAGTATAAATTATAATCTACACTTGAAAACTATTTAAACTGAATGAAATGAAAATTTTTGTGGCTTAAAATCAAGAATAATTTTGAAATTGAAGTGAAAAATGTTGGAAATTACTATCTAACCATCTATTTATCGAAAGAAGAAAAAGGTAAAATGGAAACCGAAAATTAATACTTAATTAATAAAATAATATAGTCAATATCAAAAATTAAGACTAGATGAATAATAATAAAGTTTTGTTCTAAATATTCGCGGCATTTTTTCAAAATTTTTGTTCAACTATTGGCTGATTTTCAAATTTTTAGTTCAATACGTACTTAAAAGCGGTAAATACTTACAATATATCTTTTACTTTGTACAATATCGATTAATTACAACTTTTTATATTTCTTTACTCATGCATACTTACTAAGTACTACTTGTACTTAAATAAACATTGGCTTGTTTGTTAATCACTTAGATAGGCTGGATTGCGTCGACATTAAAACAAACGGAATACTGAATGGACTTTCCATGTAAAAACCACGAAATTAGACTTAATTCCTTCTTACTCATAAATGCATGAAATAGATAAAAATTGGTAACGTTTATCGATACTTTTGCCTTTTTAGTTTAGAAAACTGTACTAAATTAATGATATAATTTTTTATCTAAAACACTTCCTGAACTACACTGGGGGAAACCAGTCTTTCAAATAATGCTAAATAGATTAGTTATTAACAATGCGTTAACAACAAAGCCAAATTTGCCCGGAGGCGCAGAATAATTTCAGAAGCGCTCAAATTATCTGGGCAAATACTAAGTACATTTTGAATTTAAAAACATATAAATTGGGATATAAATTCCATTTTTCTCCTAACTGATGGACTCAGTTCATATCGGTCCACTCAATTTTATTCATCAATAAATCACCCTTCCAAAACTTAGCCCTAATCTAATTGACGCACCGACACAGCCCTTCGAAAGGGATAATCGTTTGATGGTCGAGCGGTGTCCTCTTTGTACTGATGTCTATTCAACGCAAAAACATTAATTTGGGGCATTATGTCTTGTTTTGTGTTATTGGGATGAAGTCACAACACTTGAGGGTGGCTACATGTAAATGGACCTTAATTGATTTTTACGATTTATATTAAAAGTTTTGTTAAGACTCGCATTATCACAAAGGATCTTGCTACTGCTTAACGAGGTTTTAGCTCGGTTTCCTAAACTTGCGACAAAAGTTATTTTTAATTAAAAGTTAAATGTAAATAAATCTCATTAAAAACATGATAAATGGTAATTCTAAAAAGAACCTTTAACGATATAAATATACCCTTTGCACAGTTACTTCTATAATGTATGTGCTTATTGCATTAAAATTGTTGGAGTTGTTTGGTAGCAATATTTATTTCTTGCGTGACTGATGATGAATAAAATAATTTGCTTCTAGCAGCCTTGGACCAATCCTGCATATTAACTGTTGTCTTTCTGTCATTTGAGAACATTTTATCTGTTTTTACATAATTCTCATTTAACGAATCGTTGTAATTTTCAGCCCCTGAATTTGATTTCCCTTCTCTTAACTGAACGTAAGTTGAAGATCATCTTAATTGTTCACCCGCAAAATATCGTTTTATAACTTATTTCGTCAGTGCGTTGAAAGAAATTGAAATTTTTCTTGAAAAATTTCTTGAAAAAGAAAAAGAAAATTGCAATTGTTTTTAGAAACAGCACAATAAAATTATACCCAGAAGCATGCTTTGTTATTTTCCATATCTAATTTTCAAAAAAAAAAATTCTGCAAGCTTCAAGGCATTTTCATACAATTTTTTACAATTGCAACCCAGATGAATTAATTTGAATCATGTAAAATAAAAAGTAGGCTCGAGATGTGCATGACTTTTATACACTTTTTTTCACCTGGCCGGCAATCGTCATTTTATATAGTTCGTTACTTTTACAAGCCCATGATTACAATCGCCTCCTAAATCAACAAAATGAAACTTTTAATATAAATGTTAGAAGAAAAATTGCTACTTTTGTACAAGAAACTCCCCAAGTGCTTTCTCTAAAAATTCGTCTACATTCTGTATAGTAAAAGTACTTAATTTCTTTGCTTGACAACCACAATTCTAGCGTTTTTTAAAGCCCATAAAATTTTCACATTTTAAAATACTAACGTTTTATCTAAAGGTAAATGTTTGCAGAACTTTTTTGGGTGGAGCAAATAGTTGTAATATTTCAATAAATGTAATTATTGCTTATAAAATAAAATACATTCTTATCTGGAAACTTAGGTAAAAAGTTTTACAACAACAATTTTTTCCGCGTTGTTATATAACATACCTACCTAAACATATAACACCCCTAAACAAAACTCCATTGAAAAACATTACTCTATGATGAATCCCCATACTTTGTACCAGTTTTTTTTTAAATTCAGGAAAGAAACAAACAGTGGCTGAATGAAATAATGAACTAATGACAAAGCACAAAGGTAAATTCAGCGTTCCAGCAGGATTTTTTTATCCATTACGTCCATTAGTTATATTATACGCGAACGGGCTTTGCAACGATGGCGAAATGAATGAGAGAACAAGAAATTTATGTAATGAGATTTGCAGGGATGTACTCATTGTAGTCTGAAAAAATTGGTTAAAAAGCAAAACAATTAAGTAATTAATATTGAATTTTTATTGAATCAATTTATATTGTCGATCACATAATGACTTCAATTACTAGTTATGATATGTTTGTAAACTATGGTTTGAAATTACTATTAAATAATATAACTTTTGTTCTTTGCACCTTTGTCCTTAGAGCCCTGAAATAACTTAAAATAGGTGAAACGATGGCCCAAGAAAAATTGTAATTTTATTTTCTGCCAATATCTATTGATCGATACACCCAAAGACCTAAATAGGCATCTGTTACAGTTTATAAAAAAATAATTAAGTATATTTTAATATACACAGACTTTATTTTTTGATCTCAAAGACTTTCAAATCAACAGCTTCACCTTTGTTCATGCAAATTTAAATATTTGTTTGCAGATGTATTTAGATTTGTTTGAATCAACTAGCGCGTAATTAGTAGATATGTGCGATAGCAGATGATTTCGTTTCCTGTTTTCCAGTTATTTAAATTAGTTAGTTTAGTGAATGTGTTGACTGAAAGATTTTCTTATTTACCTCCATCAAACTAGGAAAAGTTTTAAAGTGATTGTTATTAAATTTGTCATTTTTTATGCATTTTCCATGGATTTTTCCTTTTTTAATTTGACTAATTCCGGCCCTTCGTATAGGGAGCTATAGCTTAATCAGACTAGTTTATGAATAAGCAGCACCAGTGCCTGTGTAAGCCCTTTTGTTCCATTCTGACGACTGCAAACAATGGCAAGAGGAGGCAATTTGACAAAATATGGGACGTGCCAGCAAGTAGAAGAAAAGAGAGAAATGTAAGCATTGATAGCTACATACTTTGATGGAGCAAACAAGAGAGACCAGTTCGTTATTTCTGAAAACTTAATAAAATTGAATCAGAAGTTGTGGAATTTTAGTTGACGATCCAACGCACCTGAAACTTTCAAACAGCAAAAATATAATGATTAAATCAGCTGAAATTTTAATTTCATCCATCCGCGGCAAAGATGTATGTGCAATTGATAAACCACCTTCAAGTACACATCGACTTGCAGACCTGAAATACGAGCGTAATTTCTCAATAACTCTATAATGAACATCTAGTGAATTAGTATAATTTTAACATCCGTAGCAGCGGCAATGAGTTTATATTATTTATGATCTTTGATCTCACGTTTCGTTGATAAGCAAATAAAAGTGGCATCCTGAACTCTCCTTAATCAGTGATTCTGAGCTTGTTGAATGGGTTTGGAAGGCGAGATGGATTCCTCATTAAGTATTCGAAACTTGGATGAAGTTCTGAGCAACGTGCTGAAACCGGATGAGTATGTGTTGAGTAGCGAAATTTCTCCGCTCACTGTGCCAGGCGAGAATTACGGATCTATTATGGTGAGGTTTGTAAATTGCGATTTCTCAATTTTTCACCACCTCCACTAAACGGCTCTTCATTCTAGAGTAGTTATTAACATCAAAAACCGCAACACCAAAAATACCAGAACTCTGCATGCAGCAGGAAAACTTATTCCTGACAATGAAATCATCAAAAAAGTTTTCGATACTCAAGTAACCTACAAGTAAGGTTGTTTCTAAAGGCAGCCCGATTTTTGTTGAAATTGAATGTTTTTAGATGCGAATTTTATTTCTATGCCTCGATAGTTCCTGTTTTGGACGAATTTTTGAAACGTAATGGATTTCCTGAAGGCGCTGATTTTATTGCGCCGTTCTATGGAGGCAGACTAAATCTACATGGAGGACCTGAAGTTGATGAAAATGCCATTATTTTGCTTCAAAACTTAAAACAAGAAGGTAAAGGACAATATAATTTGAAATATATTAAGAAGGTATTTATAGAGCGACTTGAGTAAGTTTTTCGTGATTTTAGGTCGTGGTGGAAAGACTTTTTTTTTTTGACGTTTGCAAGCGCGAGTAGTTTACATCCTCAGAGGTTTGGTGCCCGGAAACATACACCTATACAAAGCACATCTGCGGATGTAAACCACTCGAGCTAGCAAAACATCCGGCTTTGTCTCAGGACGGACAAAAATCCCGAAAGGCTCCTCAGAATCTCGAATGATTTTTACTTTGCGAGTAAACAATCTTTTGATTACACGTTTATCACCACACAAGAGCGCCCATGATTGCGTATTACATTTTGTTTGTTTATTTCGCAACTTTTCGGATACTTGTGCGCATCATAAGTGTGTTTCTAACGAGCAAAATTTCACAAATTTTTCAACGTCCAACCAAGAAACTGTGAAAGCGCAAAGATTCTTCAATAACTTATGGCTTCCATGTTCCTTTTTACTTTATTGGATAGAAAAAGGAAATTATGCACCCATTCATTAGCCACCGCGATCTACTGATTTAGAGCCGATTAATTTTTATTGATAAACGACGACATGAAAGCAAAAGTTGTTATCTGCCTTAGTTGAATGGATTTGATAATTTTTCATGATACATCACTTGTTTATTTTTCAATGAGCGTGTTGCTAATACCCAAAATGTAATCTTCTCTCAATGTCCATCCGAAAAATACAAATCACTGTGTTATTTATGTGCAGATGGAAGAAGGAAGATGCTTGAATATATGCTTCTATTTTAATGTTCATATCATTCGATACAAGAAGGCAATGATGCATGCGCTCACACATTGACCATTCCAATATCCCGATTTAATCCCGATGGATTTTTATTTATAAACTTCTATTATTTTCAGGGTACATCACTGGTCAAAAGCGTGTAGGACTGGATATACCAGTTGCACAAACTGCTCTGGATTCGCTTGCTAAGTTTCACGCATCTGGAATTGGGCTCAGACATTTGCATCCAGATGTCTTCGAGTCCAAGCTGAAACCCCATTTTTACTGCTTCACTCCCTATGGTTTAGATGAATTGGTAATTATTACAGCCACCATATTAACCTCTATAAGTCTTACTATTCCTGTTTCAGGTATTAGCTAGCTTAATTCCTGTTCTGGAAAAAAGCGACAAATTTAGTAAAGCAGAAGTGGACGTGGTTAAATCAGTATTCGCACAGAACGTTAAAAAACTGGATGTTAGTGAAGCTTGGGGCACGATCATCCATTACGATTCTTGGGTAATTTTTTTCGTCGTCAACTTGCAGATGTGCACTGACTTCGATACTTTCAGGTCAATAATATTCTCTACAAACTAGAAGGAACGAAACCAGTTCACAGCATTTTAGTCGACTTCCAAGTCTTCGACTACGGCACTCCATTAAACGACGTTATGTTTTTCTTGTTCTCCAGCATAAAGCAAGATTTGTTTGAATCGCAAATCGACAACTTGCTCAATTATTACTATCAAGGGCTCGTAAGCAACTTGAAGACATTGGGGGTGGATATTTCAAAGTTTTCCCGCTCCAGCTTTGACCAAGAAGTAAAAATGGCAGTGCAAAATTATGAATATTATCATGCAATGTGGATGCTTCAACCCATAATGCACGAAGCATTTAAGTCTGTTGCAAGTTTAAAGGACGGAACTGAAGATCCTACAAGTTGGTCAACGGAGCACCAAAATAAAGTGAAGGATATAACTCGCATGTGCTTCGATAAAGGATGGCTGTGATTATTACGTTAGTCTGGAGTAAAATGGTTTTAATGTAAATTGTATAGTTTAAAAAATATACCACTTTAAATATTCAAGTGAAAGTTGAGTGATTTTTCATAAATCAGAGCTTTTTTATTTACATGCATGTGTGTTTCCAGTAAAGCAGCAGAAGCAGTTTTCAATTAAAGAATTACAACAGGATTAAGCAATTAAAAATCGCCTGCAAATCCAGACTATAAAAAGGTTAAAATTCAATAACACTTAAGCAATTAGTTTGGATGATGCCATCCAGTCATTTCCTATAACAATTTGAACTTTGTTACTACCAATAGTTTTTGCTCTTGCATTTAATATTTTCTCTGATAATTTAATGGAATGATTGCGCGAGAATGTATATTGAAATCGTAAAACAAGGCACAGATATGGTACTTTCAATGTTATCAATACGACCAATATAAACAAGCGCTGTAAGATTTAAAAAATCAGTTCATTTTAAACCTGTTAATAAATTGGTCAGAATCAGTAATTCGCAGCTTCCAATGGGTTCCCTACCAACAATTCGACATATAGAAACTCTTCTAAGAAATGAGTTAGCACCTAATGAATTTGTTGTGAGTACGAAATCATCGCGTCTCACAGTGCCCGGGGAAAATTTTGGATCGGAAATGTTGAGGTAACAAATTTTTTGAAGCAAAATTTCAATTTTTGTCAAATTAATTTTTATTTTTTTTATCTAGCATTGTTATCAAAATTAAAGACAACGTTACGAAAGCCGAAAGAACTTTACATACAGCCGCAAAATTAATCCCGGAGACTAAAGAAGTGCAAACATTTTTTGATACTCAGGTAACATACAAGTAAGTGTTTTTACGTGAGTTGGTTGACTAATTCACTTTTTTGACTTGTAACAAAAGAATATAGATTTTAGTGAAAATTATTGATAACTTATAGACATATATTTTTGCATTATGAATTATGATTATTTTTGACAGGATTAAACTTTGTCATAAATTTGTACACTTGTAATACATTCATGCTAAATTAATCATCTATTCGTAATTAAATGAAATCTTCGGATACTGTTCAAAAATCTAAATCATCTTACATGCGAGAAATTGCTGGCATTAAAACAGCATAAATGACCTGCGCTTATCAAAAAGTTGATACACAAATTTTCTATTCTAATAATAATAATAATAATCACAATACAGCAAATATGTATGTTGTTACATATTAATAAAATAATAACCGTACAAAGAGTGGATATAAACCAATACAAGTTTATGAAGGAATTAGTAACTGGAAGCAAGAGAAGAGCAAACCACTGACTAAAAACATAGTTAAAAATGTTGTATAAATAAACTTGTACAGAATTTCTAAACTCATCAAAGAGTTTTTTCAAGACAATCAACAAAAAGTGAACAAGTATTAGGAAAACTCACAAACTAAAAATTTTGCAAATTAACATTTCGTTCGTTCTCATTTTACATGGTATAATGAACATTTTCAAATGCTCTTGATCGACTTTGACCTTATCACATTCCAAACACAAATTAAAGCGAAGGACGAATATTCAAATCTGGGAATATGAAAGGAGAATCGACGCTTATAATATGCCATTATATCACTTCGCCCACTGCCTCATCGTCTTTGAAAATGTCCACCGCAGTTGTGGACGAAACGTCAGGAAGAAATTCCGATAGACCACGGCTTCAAAGCCCGGAAAACATTCCTAAATGTAATCTGACCGGCCGTGAAAGCCTGCTTAGTCTGATATGACGCTTATAATAATTCACTATTTTACGATATATAAAATAAATATAATCGTTTAGTAAATTCATCAAATTTATTTGTGAAGTCCTTCATGCGGCAGTAATTTACATCACTCATTTGTACACTACATAATCAGCAAACATGAAAAGCAAACATTTTCCAAAATGAGCTATACATCTGTTGTAAATGATCTAAATTCTATATGTTTCATGGGCTGAAGGTCAGATATTTAAAAAAAATTCAAGTTTTACTCAACGCAATGATTATAGTCAAATTAACTTTAATACGAAGTCTCTGCACGCAACAGCATACAAACAAAACATTTATTAATATTCTTTTAATGCATGAAATTAGTAGAACACTAAAAAACGCCATCATTAGAAATTTTCTTTAGTAGCAACTTCAGTTCAACCACAAAGTACCATTATTGCGATTGTTCGGAAAAATAGTAAATTTCATGTGTGTAATTACCAAAAGCGTAACGTTATTCTTGATGTCTGACCTATTAATGATATCCTCGGTTTACTGCCGGGGTCACCTACTTCCATTGAATTTTTCAACTGATTGAAAAATGTAAAATAATTGGCGGTTTATGGTTCGGTGGTCTTGCATATCTTGGAATTTGCCTTATATGGTGGTCGTCTTAAAACACACACATGTTGTGTATGGTAAAAAGTGAAAAATATTGCTCATTCTTTTTCAAGTAATTGCAATGATTTCTATCAATTCATGCAACTGTACAATTATTTATATATAATAATTCTTCGGTACATTCAAAACACGATTTTTTTTTCAGATCAGAATATCAATTCTACAGTTCAATAGGACCTCTACTAGACAACTTTCTCAAAGAAAATGGGTTTCCAGAAGGGGCTGATTTTATAGCCCCATTCTATGGCGGGAGACTTAACTTGAATGGAAGCGACCGCGTAGATGAAGACGCCATCATTTTAATGGCAAACTTAAAATATTTAGGTAAAAATAACCAAATTATTGCCCAATTATTCAAATGAAGACTACGCCTTTTTAGGGTACGCTACTGGAGATAAAGCCAAAGGTTTGGATATTTCTAGTGTTGAAGTTGCCTTAAAGTCCTTAGCCAAATTCCATGCTGCCGGCATTGGCTTTAAACAGCAAAATCCTCAAAGCTTCGAAACACATTTTATTCCCTACTTCTACTATTTCATTGGACATCACTTTCATGATTTGGTAAAAACTCATTAGCTCTCATAAACATTGCCTTGAAAATATTTTTAAGGTTTTTGCCAATTTAATTCCTGTGCTGGAAAGTGGCGGATTCAGCACTGAAGAAATCGAAACAGTAAAATCCGTTTATCAAGGCATTACAAAGAAACAGGATATCAGCAATACTTGGGGAACACTAATTCACTATGACACTTGGGTAATAGGAGTTTTTGAGTGAAAAGTAATGGCTAAATATAATTGGTCTTGGTTTTCCAGATGAATAATATTCTGATCAAAAACGATGGTTCTGAGCCGAAGAATGCTATAATAGTAGACTATCAAGTGTACGAACAGGGCACACCGCTTAATGATATAATGCTTTTCCTCTTCACCAGCGTCCAACTAGACATTCTCAAAAAAGAAATTGACCACTTTCTGGATTTCTACTTTAACTCCCTGATAACAAATCTGAGAAGACTGGGATTAGACATTTCAAAGTTCTCTAGAGACAGTTTTAATGAGGAAATTAAAATCGCAGTAAAAAAATACGAATTTCATCACACCATGTGGTTGTTGGAGCCCATATTGAATCCAAACCTGCAATCATTGGCAACATTTAAACAAGGGGATGTATATTTGCTGAACTGGACCGAAGAGCACAAGGAGAGAATACAATTTATTACTCGCTTGTGCTTTGAAAAAGGATGGTTTTGATTTGGTGTACCATTAGAACATCGCACAAAGTTTATTTTTTTAAGCAATTGTAAAAGTCTTTATTTACCTTTGATAACACTGTTTTTAATAAATATTTTACGTCAAATGTACGTGTTGTTAAAAGGAATAAGCTGAACGGTATCATTGGAAAAATTGATGGTTCAGATTCTTGCATATTCTTATATTAAACATACAAAAGTGATGCGGCTGATGCTGCTAAAAAATCTTTTTTATCTCGTTTTATTACTATCAAATGAATTTATTATGTAACTTAAATGTATAAACGTCTATCGGCATAAGGATTTACCGAAAATCAACACCGATGACTGAATAATAATAAGAATATGTATTTTTATATACAAATTTAAACAATCACAAAGTGTCATTTTTTATCATCACAGATAGAGACTTTAAAAACCCAATAGTGAGGAAACACAAATACGTTAGAAATACAATTTAAAAAATAACATGTTGAGAATATTCCCGCGGTGATAACATTTTTGCTATGTTTTCCGAGGAGGTTAGGCAATACTACAAGTTGCCCTGTTTTATAAATACAATTATTAAAAATGTTTTTTAATAATTTGTAAATAATTTTAACTAAAATGATTGAAATTGTTTTAATTTTATTTACTCTCTGCCTCTAAAGATCTGACTGGTTATTGTGTGCTGTATGTGGAAACTTCTCATTGTCTCATTGATAACATTAGATCTTGTTGTTTCGCGAAATAATAAAATCATTCAAATATTTGTAAAAAATATAAGAGTATCATAATTCTCTTGCAAACCCATTTCGACGAAATATTTTTAAACTCAAAACGACGAACTTAATCAATACCACAATAAATCGTTGCGTCTTCGTATCGTAAACTAAATACTAGTTTCTAGCTTTGAATAGTTGAAAATGGTTGGAATGTTACACTTTTTTGATCAAAACAGGGCGTATTAAGCATAAAATAAATAAAACTGACTTGGTAAGCGCAGAACTTCAAATTCATAAACAAATAGAAATTCTTGGTTCTTAAGTAAGCGACTTAAATAATGTAAAATATCTTGAGGAATTAGTTTAAGCAAACCGAACTAGCACATGCACTATCATTTTTGCCCTATCATTCTTATACTTTTATAGCATCTTTAGATAAATATTTGATTTTTCTGACTTATCTAGGTAAATATCGTGTAAGACAAAGAATGACTGTAATATGGCTATTGATAACCCCCATATAAGTTTATGTCCGGCTTTAGGTCTTCAGTACGCCAAAAAATATTGGATTGATTACACTATAATTCTTCAAATTGTACATAACTGAAGCAAATGAGTTCCATACCAAAAATCCGAAACATTGAAGGTCTGCTAAAGAATCAATTAGCGCCGAATGAACATGTTGTGGACACAAAAATAACGCGACTCACAGTACCCGGGGAAAATTTTGGATCTGAAATGATGAGGTGATTTATTTTCCATTGTTTCTAATGGAAAATTTATTGGTGACATATTCGGTGTTTTCCAGTCTGGTGATTGAAATTCGAGACGATTCTGCGAAAACGGAACGAACTTTGTATGCTGCCGCTAAATTGATTCCGGAAAAGGAAGAAGTTCGGGAACTTTTCGATACTCAGGTAACATACAAGTAAGTATTTTTTCATAAACGTTTTTTTGTGTACAGCTGTTAAGGGAAATTTGTAATAGACAAAATTTTCCAAGCGTAAGTTGATTATATGAGCAGCAAAGCAGTTGCTTGATGTCCATCTCAGGGCAACGAAGAATGAAGATTAATATATCCTTATTTGTAATGATCTTACTTCTAATATTCTTAATTATTCTCTTAATTTTTTTCTAAAATTTTTTTTCACAAAATGTTTCACTTGGTGGCTTTAATTCCGATCGGAAATGGGACGAAAATGGTTCGAGAAAATTTTGCAAAAAAATTATGGTCATTCTAACAAAAAATTAAGATCGATGTTGATTTGCCTCAAATGTACAAGTACAGTAAAAACAGGATAATGGAATAAGAGTAGTTATTTCACTGTGAATAAGGAAAGTACTAATTCATATTTTATTTCTTGATGATTTTCATTCATTCCAAGATGTGTTGATTGTATTGGTCTGTTTTGCATTGATCACTGTATTGTTTGGTTTATATTTTTTATTGTTGTTTTTTTTGTGTCATTTCTTATGTCATTCGCTTCATCCTTAAGTTGTATTTTAGATTTTTGACGCAATAAAGCATACTTCGATTTAATTTTATTTGATATAAGCGGTTATAAATGCACATGAAAACTTTGCAAATCAAGGGAGCAAATATTAAAATGTTGAAAAAAAGAAGATCATTCCTGTGCATCGTCCGTATATCTATAGTTAAATATCGAAACGTATTTAACATATTAAGTTAAATATTCAAACATTTATTAATTCTGTTTTTCGTTTGCCCTCGGGAATTTTATGAACGTTTAGGACTGCTCCAGTTATTGTTTTAACCAACCTGGAACCAATTTGGAGCCTGAAAAAATAGAGAACAGTTAGACATTGCATTTCATTAATTTATTTCTTAACTTATAATAACTATAGTTGCTATGCAAAAGTTACGACGAATATTCTCGCGGATAGAAAATGTTTGGATTAGGTTTTGAAAATAACAGTGGCATAAAGTGTTATAATAACAACAGTTTATTCAGATAACTTTTTACTTTATCGTAAATAAATCGATTTCTTCTATGAAGTTTTACTTTTTACTTTTCTTATTTTGAAATTCATATGTTACATTTTTCGCAAACTAAATGTAAAATACTCATTCAATTAATTAACACGCATTGTTTTTGCAGATCAGAGTTTCAATTTTACAATTCTGTAGGACCCACATTGGATAAATTTTTGAAAAAGAATGGATTTCCAGAAGGAGCCGATTTTATAGCTCCTTTATATGGTGGAAGACTTAACTTGGATGGAAGCGATCGTGTAGATGAAGATGCTGTTATTTTAATGGCAAACCTGAAAGTTTTAGGTAGAAAGTAAAAAATCTGAATGATTTAGTATTTGTTAACATACCAATCAACAATTTTTTAGGTTATTCTACAGGTGACAAGTTTAAGGGTTTAGATATTTCTAGAGCTCAGGTGGCTTTAAGGGCCTTAGCCAAGTTTCATGCCGCTGGTATTGGTTACAGGCATCAAAATCCTGAGAGTTTTGAAGAAAATTTTAGGCCCTACTTTTATTATTTTATCGGCGATCACTTGCATGAAGTGGTAAGAATATGACATGAATACGGTAAGAACCAGGCTTCAAAATACGGCTTTTTAGGTTTTTGACAATTTACTTCCCGTCCTGAAAAGTGGGGGATTTAGTGCCAAAGAAATGGAAACAGTTACTTCAGTTTATCAAGGCATTGCGAAAAAGAAAGACGTTAGCGAAATTTGGGGCACGCTTATTCATTATGATACTTGGGTAATACTTCATGCAATCTGTTCGGGTATAAGTGTTTTAATGCTCGAATTTTCCAGCTGAATAACATTCTGATCAAACATGAAGGATCTGAGCCTAAACAGGCGGTTCTAGTCGACTACCAAGTATTCGAATATGGCACGCCCCTTAATGATGTAATGCTCTTCCTCTTTACCAGCATTCAACTAGATGTCCTCAAAAAGGAGATTGATAATCTGCTGGATTATTATTTCAACAGCCTTGTGGAAAATCTCGGAAAACTCGGCCTGGATATTTCAAAATTCTCCAGAGATAGTTTCAATGAGGAAGTGGCAGTAGCGGTTAAAAAGTACGAATACCACCACACCATGTGGATGTTGGTACCTATTTTGAGCAGAGATTTGGAATCGGAAACAGCTGTTAAACCTGGAACCATTCTGCACTGGTCCGACGAGCACAAAGACCGAATTAAATTAATTACGCGATTGTGCTTGAAAAAAGGATGGTTTTAAGTAATCAACTTTCTAGCGAAATTCTGTAGTATATTTTGTGTTAATATACTGCGCTGCTGAGTTTTAATCTCTGTGCTTATTTAATTGCTTACAAAAAAAGCGATGAGATTCGAAATGTTATTGCTATATTTCATAAACCTACTTATAAATGTCAACAATGTACAGGCTACATTACGCAAAAATACAATATAACAATGATCTATCAAAGCAAACTAGCACTGGCAAAGAAAGTCGTCTAGAGAACTTAAAACTATTGAATTAAACTACATTATTGCATTAAGTTGGTCCATGCAAGACCATCCGATTACTGTTATTGTTATTATTGTTGGGGCCCAGAATCTCAGAGGTTTCTCCTGGTTCTGGTCTCTTCCCAATAGACAAATCATCGGGAACACCTGGAGATAAATCCTGCGGGCTTGGAGAACTTCTCACTGGAGAACAAGAATGAGGAGTATGGGCTGCTGGTATTGAGGAAGTGGGAACGTTTTGAGGAGGCATGTTCATATGAGGGTAGTCAGAGGGTTTGTCTGGGTGGTGACTGGGTGGAAGCGAGCCTGGTGGTAAAGAAGTCGCAGATCTGCCTGCAAAGTGAATGATTAAAGGACTTAACATTTTGATCTTGGTCGGATGAAAAAATGGAGGGTTACCTGGAATGAGAAGTTGTGGGGACGTCATGCCTAAGCATCTCATTCTCCAGGCATCTTGAAGCAATTGCAATCGCGCCTGTTTTCTCCATTTGGCTCTTCTGTTCTGAAACCAGACCTGCCGAATTTCAAACAAACTTTTAAGATTGTGATCATCGAAAACGAAGAAAGTTTTATTCAGTTTTGAGTTATGTTTGTATTTCAACAGTTGATTTATTGCAGTTTTATTTCTTGAACTTGGTGCTGGTGTCTATATCTCTGAGAAAAATCGATCACTTTATACCAATTGGGATTTTTAGAATTGCAAGAAATAAAATATGAGTTTGAGTTGTTAAAAGTTGATAAATGAAAATCTTGAACACTTTGGAAGACACAAACTCTTCAGCAGATGTAGGCATGTTCAAGTTTAATAAGTTTCAGTTCTTCTTTTAAAGCGCATCGAATATATAATTATGTCGAATACATCCCTTAAAAACCCTGAAATAAATAATCCTAATACTACTGATATTTAGTGAAAATATTTACGTTAACGTCATAAAAGTTAAATATTTTATATCTAAAAAATTGAGTGAATTGAAAGCGAATGGAGAAAGAATACTCTAATAGAAACGTGTGTTTTTTAAAGCTTCGATAAAATATTCCATAAAATATGCAAAATTTACAAAAGTTATAAATTATATTCAACAAACAAAAGTTAATTTTGCGGTGCAGACTTTGCATCAACAAATTTAAATTTATTGTTACTGATAGACTTATTTTATAAAGCAAAGCAACAGGCACTAGATAATCGATTTTGCGAATAAAAAATAATAATTTCGAAAAGTGTGAAAACCAAGCATTGTTAAATCCTTTCCAGGAAAAATCATGATGTCGCTCTGTTTTAGAGATCGTCAGTAATTTTTTTTTCACTATTAGAATTTTTAAAATTTTTACCTGTACTCTTGCTTCAGAGAGGCTTATTCGCAAAGCAACTTCTTCTCTCAAGAAAACGTCCGGGTAATGTGTTTTTTGGAAGAGCGCTTCCAGTTCTTGAAGCTGTTGAGGACTGAAAGTTGTACGATTTCTTCTTTGGCGCCTTCTGCCAAACATGTACTCCGTTAGTAGATCACCGGGCAAAGGGGACAGATACGGTCCTGCCATAGTGGTGAAACTATTTTCCTGCAAGCGTTTTCACGTGAGTTTTGAAAAGTTTTCCTTTTGCATTTCTTTGTATATTGTAATATAAACTGATTACTTTTTAAAAAAATGTGCAGTGTTTTTAATGGTTTTTAGTTGAAAATACAAAAAATTACCGGTTGAAAATACAACAAATTTTTGACTCAAGTTTAGACTTTTTTCCCGAAATGGAGTCACCCCAATCTGATCAACTCACCACTAAAACTAAAACGTAATTCTTGTATAACTTAGTTGATAAGGCGCCCTTCGATGGGGTTTTGCTCCACCTCCCGCACTTTATTGGGGCGTCGCGACGCCCGAGCGCCGGCGTCCTTCTGCGTCTTTAATGCGATAATGCTTGTATTGGTTAAGCTTTGTTTTCTCTTTCTCATTGGTTTAATTCCTTTTGTTTCCCTATTGGCACTATTGTGTTTCTCGTCTCGTTTTTTCAGGATTGGGCAAACTGGAAAAAATATGGCTGGTGAATGATTTTTTATTTCATTGTTGTTGTTCATTGTTATTGTTGAATTTTTTTTTCAAACTACTTTGCAATACTGAATTTGTTTCTTTTTTCACTATTTTGAGGTGAAGAATTTCGTATATTTGGGTTCTGAATTTGAACGGTTTTGTATTTTTTTATACTATTAGACAATATAATAAATTTAAAAACATTTGTAAATAGACACAAACTGTTAATTATTTTTGCTATTTTACATACCTAAGTGACAATTTGGGTTTTGCTGATGAAGATTATGTATAAAAATACGAAATGGATAACCAGCTCCAGGCTTCAATTAAATTAAATTAAAAACCATTTATTTTCTTAAATTCTGTTCTTTTTAGGATGAGCAGGAGGAGCAAAGACGATAATTTAGGTACTCAAAGTGCAGTCAAAAGGAAACTTTCAAAGCATCTATACACGATAATGTTGCTTAAATATTCAAATTTATGTATTTATAAATTTCTAAAATTTTTTTTGTTCATTAAAAGTGTTTCCATTTTGTATTTTACAACCAAATCATCTGAATTACAGTCCAGCAAAAATGTTTGAAAATCTTCAAACATTTTAACCACCACAACGTTAACCTGACGGTAAAATAAAAAGTTGGCTCACACTTTAAAGCTATTGGAAATTGTTACCAATTACCATTCTATTTATATTAGTCTTTATATTTACAAAGACATTGGGGAGATAATATCAGTTACCCTCTTTGCCTTAAATAACTTAACATGAGGATTATTCCTCATATTATGTTATTTAAGGTATTTTTTTTTAACATTTGTACTTTTTTGCTTGTTGCTTGCATTGTTAATTTATTTATTGCCTTTCCATTTAACGTTTTTACTATTTTGCTTCATATCATAAGGAAACTTATTATAATTAGTATTTTAATTGGTTGCAATATGTTTCTTGAAAAAGCTCCTGTTTAGCCTGCTTCTACTCAACCCTGTTCATAAACTACAGTATACGTGTGGTTTATTGACAAAAATGAAAATTTAAGTAATCAGTTAAATGCCTGCATCTAAAGCAAAAATCATACCGCCCTAAAAGAACTGGCCACAAAATGCTCGAAAATTTTAAAATCCTCATACCATTAGTAAATAAATTACGTAGATATAGCAATTTTATATACATACATATATGGGGCAGAAGAGCGAGCTCTTCAACTCCCTTCGGACCCCCAGCATATTGATCAAATTAGGTAAAAGCCAGCGCAAAAACATAATACAAAAAGGCGGAAAAACAAGGCCCTCCATCCGGTTTGCATCGGCCCCGCCCGGTTATTTTTAATTCTCTCTCTTATTCGTTCCGTACAAAAGAATTAATTCATTACTGCCGGAGGCATTTATTTTTTAATTTGCACAAAACGACTTTACAGGGGCGGCACACATTCAACGGCAGAAACCAAACATTTGGCTGGCAAGAAGGGACAAATGAATAAAATATGGTTCATCAAACTATTAATTGCAAAAAAAGCAATTTAATGTTAACTTGGTAAGACCGATTGAATTTGTATTGCCATTAAATGGGCAAAGGCAAAGAAGAATTAAACGGTAGAGTGTTTAAAGCCGGTCAAATCGTCTGATTTGAGTGTGTTCGATGTTTAGATGGGCATTTTAGAAAGCGCGTAAAGCACGTAGTTCGAAGTTGATGTAGAACTCATGATCAAAATTTGTCTACTTTAAAATACCATTTTTCTGTTTGAAGTAAAAAAAATATAATAAAACTAGCAGAAGCATTATAGACGATCGAATTCAGGTGTCATTCATTTTTTCTATAATTTCAATAGACTGACGATTTTCGTGTATTTCAAATTCAAATAATCGCTTTCACAATTTTCGCTAACGAACATTAATGTATTTTGAAGGAAATAGTGAAGTTAGATAAATTGAAATTTGAAATTGAAACACACATATTTTGTTATCAACCCAAAAAACCACCAACTGAAAATAAAACTTACTTATTAAAGTTTTTATTATTATACACCCGAGATCGAGTTAAGTAGCAAAAGCTCGTACAAAATATTTTTCGAAATTTTTATTTTATTTCCAGATATCAATCAACAAAAATAAAATATTTCTATGGTATAACGAGCTTAAGTGAAAATAACCGAATACTCTCAGTACTTCAGCAATATACATAACTTTTCCATGCGCATTGACGATTATCGTCCAGCTGAAAAAATGTTTTCAAGCGTGGTTGCATAACAGATTTTTTGTTGCTTTTCTTGAAAAGGTGAAAATAATTTAGAAATTGAATAATATCCGTTTTGGCCTTTTTGCTCTTTATCAAATAGATTCTGAGAGAGGTCAGAAGCCAGTTGATACCTTAAAGCGGTTTTCCTGACATATTAGGCTGGAATTTCCGTCGTTTTTAATTTATTTGCACGTAAAATACGTATGCACCCAAATAAACTAGTTAAATTGCAACTTAACTAATCCGGAAGGATCTGCTGGTTAAAAATAATCGTCATACTCTGCGAATAGAACTTGTACATCTTGACTTCCCATCCAGACCTAGAAAAGTTCACTTTCTTACTAAATTTTGTCTTGGAAGTCGTTCTTCATATTTTTTTTCATATTCTAGAAGTACTTATTTGCTAAATAATTGTGGCTAAAGGAACATCAGAAGACCCATTTGATCTGAGACCGTTAAGAGACTCAACAATATTAACACCAAACTCTCTTATTGCCAAAGTCAATTCTTCAAAATCGTTATGGTTTTATTGCATTGTACTTTGTGCATTTGCATCTTATCAACATTTTTGCTTCGAAAGTGACTTGCTATAAATATGAGATAAAATTCTAAGGTTCTAAACTCTTAGTGTCTCAATTAGCGTACAAATTCTGTAGATTTTTCCTCATTGGAAACGCTTGGCTAAAATACTTAATAAAGTAGCTCGAGATGAAAAGACAATAGAAAGGGAGTATTGGATGACTTGAAGAAGCTTTGGTAAGATTTTTTCTTACCGAGAAGAAAAGAGCCTTCAGAATGAAGCACCTGAACTGGACAACATCAATGAGCCAGTTTTTGTCTTCAAGACTGATCAGAAGATCATGCAATCCTTGAGGAATTCAAAGTTTCTATTCAAACTTGAAAGGTTGAAGCTAAAGAAAAAGTGAGCAATGTTCCCTAGTAAACAATTAGACGCACCGAGACATTCTATAGCATACTCCATTACCTGTAACTAGAAACTTTGCAGTTGTAAACACGATTTTGATTAAAGTCAATTCGGAACAAAAGGGCTTTGTGAGTCCGCGGCGGATAAAGACATCACCGTTATTATGACGTTTGGGATTGATTAAAACGAGGCGGTGTGAGAGGAGGAGAGGGTGCAGAATCATAACATAAAACCATTACGTTCTAGAGCCACAATGGTCGAGAGATGTAATGATTGATTTTGAATGCTCTGAATGATTTTTAATTTCAGAGCGTGGCTTTTGTTGCCCGGTTCCGATCATCCCAGTGCCGGGTGTGACCAAATGTTGTGAAAATAGCCCCTGAATTTTCCGATATTGTTTAGCTCCACATCTGTTTCACCAGTCTTGCAATTTCCTCTTCACAGAATACCTTCAATAGTTCAATTTTCATCAAATTCTACTAGATGGTTACTTACCTCAACAGCTCCACTGGTATTTGTAGTCATCAATTTTTTTAAATACTAATAAATTGTCTACGAACCTGCATGGTGGCAATCTGTTTCCAGATAGTTTGTAAAACGACAAGCAATTTTTTGTATTTATAAAATATGCATTATAAATTTGTTTTTAAATAGAATTTCTATTGGAAAATGTTCCGGCTTTTTTTCAAGATCATCCTCAGGTAATAACGTTATTGCGTTGATAAGTAGTGAAAGGTAACTTTCAATAGATAAATATGTACAAAAAACACAGTTTAAACTCGGAGTCTAATTTAATTCTGTTAAAGTTTAACTGTATTTTGCAAGCGTGTTTGCGTAGAATATTTGCCTGGGTTTTTCAATGCAAATAACCAATGTTCATATGGAAGACATTAACTTTTGATTTTATTACTTGAAGATCTAAACATGTCTTAATGGAAGTTTATAATAAATTGATGCGGTCTGGGGAAATAGAAGGATTTTGTCAACATCTAACAGTGTTGCTCACAATTTAGAGCAATTCACCAAAGTAATAAATAAAGACAAAATCGATAAAAGATTATAATTTGCATGAACATTTGATAAAAATGCACACGAAGACAAGTAACTATGAAGAATGAATGGGAGGACAAAAAATGTCATCTTTGTATCATTTTCCGACTCTTTCAATGGTAAAGTACTTACATTGAAAGGCCAATGTACAGATCAAATGTATTTACAAACAACATGTTTGCATTTCAGAAATTTGCAGGAAAATTTTCACTTTTTCTAGTTTTTTTAGATTTTAAAACCATTGTGGAATTACAAATCAATCAAAAGAAGTAATCATATGAAAGCGTTCCAAACAAAAACTTTTTTAAACAAAACCATGAGCATTTCCTGTACCTGTTTAACATTTTTCTTCGAGTGGCGTGTGGAAATCAAATGATCATTTTTAGGAACATTTTTTGAACGAAAATTGAATTCAAGCAAAAGCTGGAACATTGGAAAAGTCAATCGTGAAGTCAAAGGAAAAATTTACGGAAGTTACTGAACATGAACTAAATTTAACAGGATGATAAATAACTTATTAGAGTAGATATCGAACA